AGTGCGGCCGGTGGCCTGGAAACATAACATGTTCTTCACTCATCCGCAAACACAATTAGTTACCACATATCGTAGTGCTCTTTAAAACATACACATATATATTATGTACATATAAACGTACAAACATAAGGTGTTAAAGCCCAAACATTTTTAAACAACAATAAACTTGAAAATCTTCGGTTTTGTTTCGCTGTGAAGTTGTGGGCAGAATATTTTAATTCATTGAACTAACCGCGAAGTTTGAGCACTTTATGCGTTTACAAACTGAAATACGTATTAGGGATGTTATGTATTGTATAAAGTACAGTCTGCTAACTTCGGTAGGTTCCAGTTTTGTGGGATTATTCTTCTTCTTAAGAGTTGCTCACACGATTACGGCCAAACCTCATTGTACTCATAGCACTTTTCATGGTCGACGCTCCTACACAATAAACAATTATATGGAAAGGTATTGATGAACGACTTATAGTCAGGTCTATTTTTTTCCCACTGGTGCTAAGTCTGGTAACCAGATAGAGGAACTTTACTACAACTACAACTCTCATCATCGAGTATGGCGCGGTTGTTAAGGCCAAAGAAATCAATATCATTGGCATACTTCTGTACCTCTTATTATTTTCTTTAGTCTTAACTCTCACTTATAAGGTTGATGTTATTGTAGCGGCTATTCAACCCCGCTTAGGAGCAAGCGAGACTGGTCTAAGTTCTCGAGATCACCTAAGGCGAAATATCGGAAAAAAGAGTTATATTTTTTGGTTTTAAGGGGCTTTCAGACATACGTTGGCTTTGTCGGGGTAAAGTCGGAATAAGTATGAATTAAATCGACTACAATACCAGATCTTAATTATACCAGTATTCACTGATAGCCGCGAGGTTAGCATGGCATTCTAAAGAAGGTTCCAGTTCTGGGTCGTCCATCAGCAAGGATTGTCAAACCATCCGATTGTATTTCTGACGTTAAATAAAAGCTTCTCATAAAAATCCATCATCCGTTCGGAGGCAGCACAGAATAAATTAAACTGCAGATCCCTCCATTTGTTGGAATACCATCAAGATTCAAAGGCCGGAGTGAGTGGAATGATGCCTACGAGTCTGCCCTGCCAATATCTGCAACATCGCCGCCAACCAACACCAACGTATGGCACCCAATCCATCGGGTGTTACAGCAGCAGCACACCAAACCCACGCATTACTCTCTCAGCCCCCGTATTAAGAACATTCTCCCATAACAAACAAGACAAATCCAATTTTACTGCAACGGACTCCAGGGAAAGATAAATGAGATAGATGATCCAGGAAACGAAGTTGACCTCGAGCGAGACCATGACGGGGCTTAGCGTTGATTTTATGCAACACCGTGCAGTATCGCCTCACCGATGGAGACATCGACCGCAGGGATACTTCCCTAGAATGTAAGGGCATAGCTATCCGGTCAAGCGATGTCGAGCTGAAAATATTTAATATATACATTCCTCCTTTTACATGTTGCCCAGTTGGATACAGCTCTGATATTGGCGCACTACTCAGGGTTTGGTTTTTGGCGACTTTAACGCGGATCGCGATCTCTGGCATTCTAGCCTGTCAAATGAGAAGGAATGGAGCTGGGAGATCAGATAGACGATTCGACATTCTGCACAATGAACAATAACACCCCCACTAGAGTTGTGGGTAATAGCCCACGCTTGCCAGATATGGCAATTGTGATTGCTGGTCTGATAAACAGTATAGTCTGGCGACCTGTACTAAGACTAGCATCGGACCGCTTGCCAATACAAATCTCGATTGACAGGCCTCCCGACTTTGTATCCGCGGATCACCGGACATTTGTTAACTTCAAAAAAAACTGGACCGGCTTCACGGAATCCAGCGAGAACGCCTTTAGTGCTCTACGCACTCCATCAGACGTCACCACTGGTGAGCGTTTATTCCGAAAGGTCGTCGTGACCGCTACCGCACGGTTCATCCCGGCAGGCCGAATCGCGGAAGTCCGCCCCAATTTTCCCAAAGAAGCAGCGGTTTTAGCATCTAGGCGCTGTACTCTTCGTAACTCCGATCCCGGGAATCCCCTAATCAAGGATTTAAGCGCTGAGATTCGTAAAGTAGTGAACAATCACAAGCGAAAAAGGTGGGAGGAGCACTTAAGTACCTGAAATCTCTCCTCTGGGGCAACCAAACTCTGGACTACAATCAACTCGTTGACCCGAAGCCATTATAGCCGATTTTTTACCAGCCAACAAAGGAGAGTCTTATCCAGGCCTTGCTGCTCCCGACTTCCACTATACTTCCGTAAAGTGCATAGCACCACAACAGCACTAAATACCATAAACGCACGGATAGTCAATCGCTTTAAACAAAACAGACTGTGTGCGCGAACTGTCCTGATAGCATTGGATCTGTCAAAAGTTTTTGACACCGTCAAACATTCAGTGCTGCTAACGGACATTGAGGAATCCTCATTACCGCCGAGGTTACAGAGGTCGGTAATGGGCTACCTGAATGGTCGACAATCCGAGTGAAACAAAGAAACTCTGGACAGCCGGTTCTACGCACCGGAGTTGACCCGGATTTTATCCGGCCAAGGGCTGTCACCCTTTCGGAGACCTAACCCCGTTTAGGTCTACAGGTAACCTTAGTCTAAGTACGTCAACGGAGCAACACCTCGCAGCTGGGTTGCTCCAAATCCTTCTGATCAGGGCTGGTGTAGAAACCAACCCTGGACCGACGGATTACTTCTGNAACACCCCTCTCCCTTTGGTCCAACCCCGTCGAAACAGCTCGTTTCCTGGGCCTACCTTTAGATGACCTCGACGACTTAGACTAACTCAAGCCTGTGCCTAAGCGGGGTTAGCGAATCCGCTACAACAACAACAAAGAAACTCTTGAAAATTAAACAGGGGGTACCGCAGAGAGGTGTCCTCTCCGCGCTACTGTTTAATTTTTACATTTCGAAACTCTCACCTCCACCAGAAAGATTTTCCCTAACCTCGTATGCCGATGATTGTAGGATAATTGCGTCTGGCCAGGATATTGATGAAATCTGTTCGAAAGTGAACTGCTACCTTGCCGATCTTTCTTACTTCTTCACTGCACGACAGTTCAAAATACAACCGACTAAATCCTCGGCTACCCTCTTGAGCAGCTGGATGAAGGAGTGCAGGCTGGAATTAGATGTGAAAGTCAATGACGTAAAAATTCCGACTATAAACAACCCAAATATATTTGGAGTGACACTGGGCAGCCTGCACTCCTTCACTCCGCTTACGACCGCAATTGCCGCAAAACTGCAGAGCAACAAACTTTGCTGGCTACTTATAAAGCGATTGGCCGGCCTGTCGTAAACTATGCTGCACCGATCCGGGCGCCGAGGACGAACGAGAAGCAGATGAAGAAGCCACAGGCTTGCCAGAACGCTGCCCTGAGGACTGCGACAGGAAACCTCCTGATGTCGCCGGAATATCACTTACACAGCGAAGCATCTGTGCTACGAGTTGAAGGAGAATAATGGTTTGCTGTGCAAGCAGTTCCTATTGGGATGCTACCGCAGGGAGAACCCCAGTAGGCACCTAATAGAAGCTGAAACTCCACCTAAACATCAGAAAGGGAGTACTAGATCTTAAGGACACAATCAAGCAACACGTGTAACAACCGCTGGACAGGACGACGTACATACAAGCACTGAACGCCATTCACCTGGAGTCAGTCAACACCTTCAAGAACTCTCTTCCAGTGAATGGCGTGCTCGGAGAAAAACCTCCACCTATAGCAGACAACGACCTCGAGCAGCCACCTCTTCACATGCCCTCTCAAACCAACTCATTTAACTCCCCTTTCCGTTTGGTCCAACCCCGTCGAAACAGCTCGTTCCCTGGGCCTCCCATTAGATGAACTCGGCGAATTAGATGGACCAAACCTGTGCCTAAGCGGGGTTAGCAAACCGCTACAACAACAACAATAAAAACTGATTTTACTGCTACATATTTCACGTGATGTACAACGATTAAATCCACTTGAAGAAAGAAAAGATCGAATTTGATAACCATTTTTGAAACCATTACTGATATAGGTGTCGGATTATAGCAGGTTCGACAGGGTAGATTTGCCTTTGCAAAACCCATGTTGTCAGATGTCATTAACTGATGACACTGAAAGGGGTATATAACATAACATTGCAATCCCACCGTGATTCCCCATAGATTTACTACCAGATTTATGTAGAGGTAAAATATGTCTCTCCACAAAGCAGCGAATACACTTTGCTTTAATTTTAATGAAGCATAAAATATGTTCGTTAATGATATAATTATATAAAATTATAAGCTCTTAAGAGCATTAAGATGGTAAGCAATATCAGCGGAAATATAAGGTACCTTTACTCAATCGAAACAAGGCATAAGTAAGGGTAAGTGAATTGCTGCGGGATTGAATTTATGTTCGGCACGTAAATTTGGAAAATTCTGTAAACATTCCTAAGATTCTGTTATAATCACTAGAAACATCATCATTCATTTTTATAGATGATGGAAAAACAAAAGTCTTACGTTTCGAATTAACCAAAACTATAGAATGACTTCGGATTTATAATAATATTATTTCGACTTTTTGTCATATGCTGCTTGTCGCACGACTTATTTAAAATATTATACTTTTATCTAACTACGGAATAAGCACTATTTATGGAGCTTGATGTTATAGGGAGAAACTTCCTGAAAATAGAGTATAAAACACTTGTGAAGTGAAATGCTTTCCCCTATATTTCTAGTACACAGTGGTCTTCAATTTTGAAGTTGATGCTAGATTATCTTTATTAATAAAAAAAAAAAAAAAACATCATCCAGCCGTTCGAAGGCGGCTTAGTACAAACTGTAGATTCCTTAATTTGTTGAAAAAACATAGGCGCACAACACAACATATTGGTATAAAAACAAAAAAAAATTTAAGAATAACGTAAAAATTTAATTTGTAACAAAAAAAATAGTAAGAGGTACATGAAAATAATTCTTGTTGTAAAATTATTTATTAATTCTTAATTATTAATACTTTTCCTATTTAAAATAAATAAAATCTTATTACTCCGGTTACTATGCGATGTCCGTTCATTGCCACTTACCAGACAATTTCGCATGATACTGGTTTTGCTGTTATGATTGTTTCGAAATCTATATACCTATCTATATATCTATATATTCCATATGCAATGTTAAACATTGTTTTATGTAAAATTTATGTTAGATAATTGGCACTTGAACAGCTCAAGGCGGATACGTAAGGAAAAAATTATAAGAATTATACTTTTACGAGGCAAAATCTTTTTCCATGTTATCTAACAAGTTGTTTGCCATATTTTTCGCCAACGTCTTTTTTTGTTCAACATCCTTTGAGTATCTTACTAAGCTCATCGACATAGACTTTCTCATTTTTTCAATGCATTGAATCCGGGACCGCTCCTTATCATTTAACTCCATAAAATTCTGTAAAACAAAAAAAGATTATGTACATACGTACATATATCACTTTTCCCTCTTACCTTTAGAAGTTCATTTTGATAATCAAGTTGTTTTTCTAGATGACGTATTCTAACTTCTTTAAAGCGCATGCGTAGGGGCAAAGTTCTTTGGATGGGATTCATTTTCAGTATATTCCTGGAATATATAGACAATAAATATATTTGTATTACAACAAACGTACAGATTTAATGAATTTTTAAATACCATGAATTTCCTTGAAATTGTTTATACTGCTCTTTTAGCATTTCCAACTCGGCTATTCGATTTGAAACATCATATTCTTCCCAAAACCGATCCAATGAATTTTGAAGGCTGCGCATTAATTGTTCTTTCATTTCGCAAATTAATTCATGTTGATTTTTTACTACATGCTTCTGATGCTTCATTAGAACATTAGCAAACCCTTCTAAGTGTGAAGACCTGAAGACGTGGAATAGAACAACAAATTTATCAATTTAATGTATCCTAAATACACAAATACCTTATATGAAATACTCAATTAGCATTGCAACATTTTTACTTCTTTTTTCATTAAACTTTATTTGCAAGATTTTTTAAGAATAACAATATTATGAACTTTTAGAGTACCCCGATCAACTATGATGATTTTATTGGCATTAATTTGACGGTTATTGATTTTTTCTATACAAGTATTCATTATTAAATATCGCGTATAGAATTTCTTTAAAAAAAAGTTCTATATTATTATTATTATCAACCAAATTTTAAAGAAATATTTAAATTCAACGCAAAATTGAGATTCAACATAGTTCATGTCTATTCGCTTCTTCGTGAATCTAATAAAACCAAATAAAAATAGCAAGATTTACTTTTCCAATATTACTCAGGCTAATCAGGGTATTTTAAAATAAATTTGTGTCTGCTGTTTTCGCTTACTAGTGGAGTAAGGAAAAAAAAAAGGTACCGCGCTCGATACTCAAAATTTGAAAGCAACTATAAAACATGAGGAGTTAGAGAAATTAAACGGATATAAACTACAGAAATAAAGTTGGTGGAAACTATGTTACAGCATTTACAAAAGATATTAAATGTTAAAGTCATCCGACTTTTCCTGGCTATCCAGCTTTGTACCCAGACTATTGCATGTTAATTTCAAAAAGTTTTTAGTTTAGTTTATCGAAAAAACATGATATTCCTAATTTACTTGGCTTTTATATACACACTTGGCTGTTGAGGGTACATACATACTAAAGTATTCGCGCTCTGTCATTTCGAAGTGAAATAATACGAAAAGGTTAGGCAATTAAATAAACTAGGTTCTAAAATATATGCTTCTGTTGAATTGCAACATAATTTTCAGGCCGGGAATTGTGCAATACGAAATATAACAAGAAAACGGATTGCAACAATGCACGACCGAAAAATTTTATTACTCTTATATTGCATTATTTATGAAAGCTATTCCCTTGAAATAACGATTCTAACCTTAATTCTGAGATCAATTGGCGGTAAAGTGCGTAATATTCTGTACGCCGTTCTTCCGCAGAGTCGAAAAAGTTTCGGTGCATAAGTTCCAAATCCACTTCTTCTGGAGCACGTGTTGAAGCATTATCCTGTTGCTCCATTTTCTCCTGACAATTATCCATGTTCACAAACATTGCTTCTACAATGGTGAAATTCCAATTACTTTACTCGCTTCATTAATTGTAACACTCAAATATCTTTATTACGCCGTTATAACTGTTCTTCGTTCAAGAAAGGGAAAACAACGTTTACAATCAAATCGTCAAGCATATTCACAAAGAAAATTTTCATACCGAATTTCAAAAACTTCTAGAGAGCGCACAAAACATATACACACAATCTTATTTTAAACTCAAAAGAAATATCCCCTTTCAAAACACTTCCATCATAAGAAGGAGTTCTCACGGAACTCACACATATGTGTAGCATTGTAGATGATATTTAATTAACAGAACGCGCGTTGCAGCAATACGTGAAGAATGTGGGTTCGTCATAAAATTATTTTACTTGTCATAGCTACAAAAGAAAGTTAACAAATGACGTTCTGTTTATAAGTTATATCAAAATTATCAAATGTGTTGTAAAAAATTCAAACAACGTTTACTGTAAACCATGACTTATATTACAACTTTCACACTACTATTTTCTGTTTCTAACTGAGTAATGTGTTGTTATTGTTGTTGTTATTTTTGTAGCGGTTCGATCAATCTAAGTCGCCGAGGTCATCTAATGGTGGGTCCAAGAAACGTCCTGTTTCCACGGGGTTGGACCAAAGGGAGAGGGGGGTTATGCTGAGGTCTAGTCTGGATAAGTAGGAGTTTAACCTGCTACAATATCCAGACCTGAGTTGTGTCAGGGTCCCGCGGGTCTCCCGAGGCAGCTCGAGCTCGTTGTCTGCTATGGGTGGTGGTATTTCTTCGAGTACGCCATTCACTGGAAGGGAGTCCATGAAGGTGTTGACTGACTACTGGTGAATGGCGTTCAGCGCTTGTCGATACGCCGTCCTGTCCAGCGGTTGTTGTGTGTGTTGCTGGATTGTGTCCTTAAAGTCTAGTACTCCCTTTCTGATGTGCCTAGGTGGAAGTTCAGCCTCTATTAGGTGCCTACTGGGGTGCCCCTGCGGTAGCATCCCAATAGGAACTGCTTGCACAGCAAAGCATTATGCTCCTTAACTCGTAGCATAGATGCTTCCCTATGCAAGTGATGCTCCGGCGACATCAGGAGGTTTCCTGTCGCAGTCCTGAGGGCGGCGTTTTGGTAAGCCTGTAGCTTCTTCATCTGCGTCTCGTTCGTCCCCGGCGTCCACATCGGTGCAGCATAGTTTACGACAGCCCGGCCAATTGCTTTATAAGTTGCCAGCAAAGTATCTTTGTCTTTACCCAAGGTGCAGCCGGTTAGCTCTTTGAATATTTTGTTGCTGCTCTGGAGTTTTGCGGCAATTGCGGTCGTATGCGGAGTGAAGGAGTGCAGGCTGTCTAGAGTTACTCCCAATATTTTTGGGTTATTTATCGTCGGAATTTTTGTGTCATCGACCTTTACATCCAGTTCAAGCCTGTATTCCTTCGTCATCAATATCCTGGCCGGACGCCATTATCGTACAGTCATCGGCATACGTCTGCAAGCCGTCCTGCCCAACGGTTGTTGCACATGTTGCTGGATTTTGTTCTTTAGAGCTGGTAATCCCTTTCTGATGAGCCTAGGTGTAGGTTCAACTTCGATTAGCTGCCTACTGGGGTTCTCCCTTCGGTAGCATCCCCTAACTCGTAGCATAGATGCTTCTGTTCTGGCAAGCCTGTAGCTTCTTCATCTGCGTCTCGTTCGGTGATCGGTGCAGCATAGTTGGTTTGTAAGTTACCAGCAAAGTTTCCTTCTCTATATCCCAGACGCTGCCGGCTAGCTCTTAGAGTATTTTGTTGCGGCTCTGGAGTTTTACGGCAATTGCAGTCGGATGCGGAGTGACAGTCACTCCCAATATCTTTGGGTTGTTTATATTCGGAATTTTTACGTCATCGACTTTCACATCTAATTCCAGCCTGCACTCCTTCATCCAGCTGCTGAAGAGGGTAGTCGAGGATTTTGTCGGTTGGATTCGTAATTGTCTTGCAGTGAAGAAGTGAGAAAGATCGGCAAGGTAGCAGTTTACTTTCGAACAGATTTCATCAATATCCTGGCCAGACGCCATTATCGTACAATCATCGGCATAAGACGTTAGAGAAACTCTTTCTGGCGGAGGAGGGAGTTTCGAAATGTAAAAATTAAACAGTAGCGGGGAAAAGACACCTCTCTGCGTAACCTCCTGTTTAATTTTTCTGATGATTGTCGACCACTCAGGTAGCCCATGACCCACCTCTGTAATGAGGATTCCTCAATGTCCGTTAATAGTACTGAATGATTGACTGGGTTTTTATGGCTTTTAGTGCTGTTGTGGTACTGTGCTTTTTTCGGAAGCCATGCTAATATGTTACTGGACGCAGATGGTTAGTAAAGGGCGGGAGCTCAAGTGTCTTCGCTACTGGGGAGAGGAGAGTTATCGGCCAGCTTTGTTGGCTGGTTTCCCCGGTTTGAGTAGCGGGAGCACCCTGCCAATTTTCCACACTTCTGGTATCATTAGGGTGGTCAAAGACAAATTGAGGACCGAGATCTTTGAGCATCACCATGCTTAATCCGTGGGGGTGATAGATTTAAAGGCTTTCGCCTTCCCGATGACCCTATGAACCTCCTCCCTGGAGAAATCAAGAGCCGCGCTGGCGTTTAACAGTTTGCGCATACGGTGGGTTACAGGATGCAGTGTGAAAATTTGGTTAAAATAGCTCGCGAATCATAGCGACAAGGCGTGATCATCGAATGAAATTTCCATTCGCTCATAGCGTCTCGTCGGGTTATACAACGACTTGACTGTAGCCCAGAGCTGGGTTGCCTCAGAGGAGAGGTTGCAAGTCCTCAAATGCTCCTCCCACTTTTTCCGCTTATGGTTGTTAACTACTCTGCGAAACTCCGCGTTTAAATCCCTGATTAGGGCATACTCGGGATCTGAGCTTCGGAGGGTGTCGCGCCTGGATGCTAATACCGCCGCTTCTGTCGACGATCCTGCGGAATGAAGAACCAGTAGAGACGTCTGATGGAGTGGAGAGCACTAAAGATGTTCTCGATGAGTTGCGTGAGTCCGGACCAGTTAGCTTTTTTTAAAATTGACAAATGTCCGGTGATCCACGGAAACAAAGTTGGAGTCCTGTCAATCGAAATTTGTATGGGTAACTAGTCCAATGCTAGTCTCAGTACAGGTCGCCAGACTATACTGTTTATCAGACCAGCACTCACGATTGTTATATCCGGCGAGCTTTGGCAATTTTCCATAAGTCTGGTGAGGGTGTTATCGTTCATTGTGCAGAATGTCGAATCGTCTATCTGTTCTGCCAGCTCCATTCCTCTGCGGTCATTTGACAGGCTGGAATGCTAAAGATAGTGATGCGCGTTAAAGCCGCCCAAAACTAAACGGTTTTCGCCTCTGAATAGCGCGCCTATATCCGGGCTGTGTCTAACTGGGCAACTTGTAATAGGAGGAATATATATATTAGATGTGTAGCTATGCCCTGACATTCTATGGTAGTATCCCTGCGGTCGATGTCGTCGTCGATGAGGCGATACTGCACGGTGAACGCTAAGCTCCCACCATGGTCTCGCACCCAATCCTTGCGAATTATGTTGTATCCTTCCCTGCTCAAAAGATCTGAAATTGTAAGAGTCGGATATGTCTCGGGGAAGCGTTCGTGATTCAGGCGGTGAGGGAGTGATGCGTGAATGGAGTGTTTTGCTGCTGTAATGCCCGCTGAGGTTGATTCCGCACGTTGGTGTTAGTTGGCGGTGGGATTTAAGCAGAAGTAATCCGTCCGACCGGGGTTGGTTTCGACGCCAGCCCTGATAAGAAGGAGCAACCCAGCTGCAAGGTGTAGCTCCATTGGCGAACTTAAATTAATGTTGCCTGTTAACCTAAACGGGGTTAGGTCGCCGAAAGGGTGAAACCCTTGGCCGGATAAAATCCGGGTCAACTCCGGTACGTACAACCGGCTGTCTTATCGAGCAGATCTCACGGCGCGGTTGTTGAAACCAATAATGTTAATATCATCGGCGTACGCCAGCACTCTGTACAATTTGTCATCATTCTGGGCAATGCTTGATTTACCAGGTCTGAAGCCACTCTCTTAAGGTCCAATCAATCTGTTGACAGTGGGGTTTAGTCTTTCACAAAATTTTCTATATAAAGAGGTGTATCCCACGATAATTAGCGTAGACCTTGTGCTCCCCTTTTTTATGGATTTAAGAAGAAGAGAAGTGTTCCCTCCATAAATTCAATATACTCTTGGCATCGGTGGCTAGATCACCTCTTTGCGTCCTACAAGAATCTGCTTTGGTCTTGAAACCTTCTGTAAGCCGTCGTATCTTTTTAAAGAATTTTCGAGCAATACCCTTATCAAACAACTTCTTAAGCTCTTCGCACTCATGCATCTCGGCCTCTTTCGTTTTTGTCTGCACATGCGTTTTGCTCCCTCATCAGTTCTCGGCATCTATCCCATCCCGCAGTAGGAATGCAAGTCGAGTAAAAAACCGCTCGCCAGTCTGTTGTGATTGCAGCTTTTCGACGTCGAACTTTTCTTGTGCTTATTGCTTCCCTTATATGCACGCAAAAAAAGAGGCCGAGATGCGTAAGTATAAAAAAATATCTTGTCGCCTATTAAATGGCAGTAAAAATGAAATACAAGAATTTGGAGATGGCGAACACGATTCCCTTATCGATGACGGGATTGCTCCACTATGATGAAATTCAAGTGGGCATTGCGCACCTTAAAAAACAAAGCGAAGAATATGGTCGGACAGAGGCATACCCGACAATTATAACCGAAGTGTGCCAACTCCACAAAAAAGTGGTTCACACAGTCTGCTTGAATTAACGCCAGGGTGAGCAAAGAAGGTATCACCGGCACAACAGTCGGAAAAGTCAGCCTCCACGTCGAAACTTTCCTAAATGAGTTGAGGCTGATAGACCATGTTGTGATAGGCAGACTCGTGTTCTAGATGGACATAGATACGGAGAATCGATGAAGAAAGCGAGATGTATTTGCAGGTGGGAAAAAGGGGGACCGAAACGTGTTAATATGAAGAGCAAAAGGATTACATATCTAGCCACGTAATGATCACAGGCATCGCTTGTTGTGTCGAAAATACAATATATTCTTAGTCTAGGAGATGCAAACATATTCTAGGAAAAGTTGCTAGAGAACGAGAAGTCTGCACCCCGACTATAATGAAAATGTACACAGAAGGGTTCA